AATCCACATCTTTAGAATAATAATTTTAGGGGATTGTTAAAGATCCCTTGTCACTACTGGAATAGAGAAAGGCATATCCCCCAGTGTCCTGACTGGCAGTCCTCCAGATTAATAGGTTATTCACCTCAGATTGTTTATAATAATAATAATAATAATAATCCTTGCATTTGACATAGTGCTTTTGATGTCTTCTCAACGTCTCAAAGCGCTTCACAGAATAGACTGTAAAGTGAATTGACCGTATATTTGTGGACAAACGCACAGCAGTGTCCCACAAACAGCCGTGGATTGAAAATGATCAATTTATTATTGTTTTGTTTTGGAGGGATTATTATTAGACGTGTGGAGTAAGGAAACTTGCCCAAGGTTTTGCTCTGCCTGGAATTGAACCCAGGTGTCTCGCTTTCAAGGCGACTGCTCTAAACCACTGAGCTACAGGACTCCAAGGGATTTTGCTGATCGTTTGTTCTACACTGTTTAAAAGAGGTCATTACAATTAATGGTAATTGTGAAGAACTTCGAGCCATTTTGAAACTTCTATTAGTTCTTATTTGCTTAAAGTAAGAGTTCACCTCCTGTGATCTGTATTTAACCCTCTGTGACCTGTATTTAACCCTTTGATATTGAGATAGTGGATTAATATCCAGGTGGTTCAATTGTTTGAGTGTTGGACTGTGAGTTGCTAGGCTTTGGATGTGAATCCTAAAGGGTATACTTACCCTTTTGAGGTTAATTATATGAGTACCAAGTCTGAACATGTCCACCTGGAGGGGAAGTAACTAATTGACACTGGAGATTTGCCTGCCTGTAAAGCATATTTCAAGGTACTTGGTCATACTTTGTAGTTCAGCACTGAGATGTGGAGATGTGGACATATCCTTAACCTTTCATGCCGAAGATCTGAAAGCTTTTAAGTCCACAACAAAACATGCTAAGAAACTTTTGGGTAGGGTTGCTGTTTGTCAGTTTTTGTCAATTCATCAACAAATGTTGATGAATAATACCGCCATCATTTTGCTTACATTTTTTCTGATTATTTTGATATTGTGTGATCTTTTCTTCTGCAAAAATGTCCGCAATAAGCAGGAAATTACATCAGAGGCGCTGCCTGCGCTTAGCATGCATGAACAGCGTGCAGGAAATGATGTCCCAGGACCCCTTATGAACTAGAAGTTGGACATTATTGTGGTTCAGAATAATAAATACGTTTAATGATGAGAATTTATTTTCCTCCATTTGGATAGAATTAGAAAACCAGTCAAATATATTGCTTTTTACTGCTTAAAAATCAGAAATTGGCAAGAAACTATTGTTATGAAGTCTAATATATTACCCAGAAGTTTATTATATTGCCCTAAGCCTATTTCAATATGAGAAATGTACAGTAATTATTTCTGGTAAAACAATACTAATGGACGGGGGGGCAAAGTGAAAGTTCTTTTGCTGCCAAGCAATAGTAGGTTTGATGGATTATTGCTTCTATAGGTTTTTTTCCCATTATAATCCAGGATCATTGCAGTCTTTACGTTTTGTGGTAACATACTCACATTTAAAAAGATGCTAAAAGAAATTTATTTCCTGGACAGATGGAACCCATTGTGAATTGTGCACAAAGTAAGTTTGTGAACCTGAACCTTTTCGGTTCGCGTAGCAATGTCAGTTATTTGAAGTTATTTCAGATGTGTTGGAAGAGTAACAATAGCATTTGCTCTGCAGTGGTTAATAATAGTTCAAGTGGGTTTGAGGGACACTGAAGTAATGATACAATCTCAGGGTTTCCTCTTGCTTATTAAGACATAACACACTCCTTCATCATATAAGCAATTCTGTAAATAGGAAACACCTTGAAGTACGTGGCTGATGCTATCAGTTGTCAGAAACTCCAGGGCTGGACTGAGCCAACCCACAACATCAAATTGCATTTATATTGCGCCTTTCAAAAGATACCAACAGATTGCATTTATATAGTGCCTTTCAAATTAGAATTAATTTAAACTTAATTTTTTTTTTTTTAATTTAGTCATTTATATGACTACCTAACAAAGCACCTTCGCTATGCACTCTGTGTTCTGCATCCAGTTTTTAAGGACAGGTTCACATTTCTTTTGTAAGATAGTTATTATTATTTTTCATTCCTCTCCTCCATGTCTTCTCTTGGCACAGACTGATCGAGAGGGAGTCATTCACCCTGTTCTTAAACCTCTGTTAATACTTGCAAAATTCATCTGGGGGGAGGAGGAGGGAAGAGGTAATGGTCCACTAATTTCCCCGGCTCTATTTACTGCAGGGATGAATCTCTGAGACACTACTCTGAATGAAGGAGCTCTATATAAATGCAAGTTGTTGGTGTCGCAAACTCCCTACTTGGGAAATCACGTATGTGTGTGGTCTCTAGTGGAGACATTACTGCACTTCCATAGTGTCTCCCTGTCATATTGATTTTTAAATGCATAAAGTGTATAGAGTGTATAAATGTTACTTACAACTCTTGTGTAAACCTCGACATTACAGAGGAACAAGTAATACACTGAGTCCTTGCAAGCTAATCTCACAAACCAAGGGTGGGGCGGAATAAAGCGGAAGAGAGTTTTGTTTTGCAGCTGCTTGCGGTTATGTTTATCTGTCAATGGTAAGGTCAGCTGATTCAGATCCACAGGGCACCGTGGTTGTTGGTTACTGTAGTTTAAAATCATGTTTTAACTTTTTTTTAAAAAATATATATTTTACAAATATCTGGAATTTCTCGTTGGCACAATCCCCGATACACACTCTGCTCTATGCTGAGTTAGCAGATATTGGACAGGTTAGCAAGTAGAGGTTTTGCAAATAGCCTCAGTATCAGAGTTCAGCAAGGGAAAATGTCATGATGGCACTTTGACAACTCGAGAGTGGCTGACATCACAAGAACAAAGACTTCAGGGGAGGAGGGGACAAAATAAATAATACCACGTTAAGCCATAAGGAAACCAGTTTCAGCTCCTGATCTGTGCTGCATTATGGGATCTCAGCCATGCAGCAAACTAGACCACAATTGACCTCAATGCCACTGTGTTAGGGAAGGAAAATCAGCCAAGGTGTCTTTCTCTGATCGCTATCCAGAGACCCCTTGAAAGGTGTGTTTGTATAGATATGAGGATATCAGGAGGACAAGATGGGGTTTGGCTACAGTCCTCTTCAATTAAACGTCCTGCTGACTCTCACTGCTAAGGCTCACATGAATAGCCATCATCTTACACTGTTTTGCCCACAAAATCTACAGTCAATTCACTTTACAGTATATTCTGTGAAGCGCTTTGAGATGTCTCAGAGATGTGATAAGGTGCTATATCGAATGCAAGAATTATTATTATTACCTGGGCGAGGATAACCGACACAAGATCACAAGAGACTTTCCGTTGAAGAAGATGCCTGTGGAACCGAGCCTCACTAGAAGTCAGAAAACGATTTGAGCACCTGCGGTAGAGGAGAAAAGTGAAGACAAATTGGCCAACAGCAACAAAAATTAATTCACTGAGTTGTTGAATGTTGAATTCCTGGCAATCGGATTCAGGGGCTGTGTCTGCCTGAGGACACCCACGCAGAAGGTTGAAACTGTACTGTGGTTCTCTGGGGGGGGGGGTTTAAGTTCCTGAGATTCTTTCCTAAAGCAAAGTCTACAGCTGGAGCGATGGGGAATGGGTAGAATTATCATTATCTTATCCTGAAAATAGGTTTGACAGCTGAGGTATTGCAGGCCTGGAGATCCTGTCCGGTCAATGAACTTGGTGGGTGGGGAGGGGGGGAGAGGGAAAGGAAGGCTGGTTCCCTTTTGCTGCATTGCTGTTGTGTGCATACAGGACTGCTGGTGATGCCCACCCTACGTCTGAAATAAACTAGTGCAGGTTTGACCATCTAATATTGGGAAGGATATTATTTACTCTTGAGAACATTCAGCAGTAGGTAACCATGATTTCTGTGGAGCGTGAACTTGCTTTGCGTTTTTTTTGTGAGCAAATTTTTGTGGGAAAGGTTTTGAATAATACATTGCCATTGTGTACTGTAGGTCATTTGTAATGATTTCAAGATGCTTAGAAAGGAATATTAGGAGCTTGAAAAGATGTAAGAACTAAATCCTTACAGGTTGTTTGGCTCGTGCTGGGGGTCACACAAGCAGTCCTATCCATTGCACCTTCCTTATGTAAGTCCCACAGTCAGATCGGACTTGCTTCGAAAACTGGTCAAGAATGTCAGAGCATTAAAACGCCTTGTCGTCACAAGAAAGCATTCGGCAAACGTTTCCTCATTTTGGTTACTAACCAAAGGTTTGAGGTGAGGTCTATTCTTGTCTTAGCATTTAGTTTCACCATATTGTGGTATAGCGTAAAGGAATGGAAGGATCAGGCATGTGGCTTAGCCATTGGCATAAGGTTAATCTGGATCCTCTCCAAAAGTGCATTTTTTCTCCTTTCCCCAGGCTTGTATAAACTAATCAATTGTTGAAGACTTGTATTTAGATGTGCGCGAGACACTGATCCGTGTGAAGGACGCAATATAAATGCAAGTTGTTGTTGTAGATATACTCGCATTTTAAACGCTCGGTAGCCTTGTTTAACTTTGGCTCCTGAACAGACTCTCTAGAGTGATAATCCCAGGACAGTTGATCCAGGGTCACTGACACCCATATAATGCAAACAGACAGTTTTCAATCCCACCCTGTATAATGGATATTGAATTCCTTGTTGTGATGGACACTGGCATTGTTCAGTTTCACTGCACAGTACGCCACTTCATGCATGTGACCCATGGAGATAGTGGGGAGATTGAGATAGATAGAGTGTATGAGCTGGACTTGCGTAGCTGGAGTGATGAACTGCTGCTACTAATAATACACATGACTGATACAGCAGTGCAGGACTCTGTCCTTTCCAAGTGGAAGCAAAATAGGGTTTACAGGAGAATCTCCCCAGCCGAGCCACTTCCAACCACAAGTGCACAGTGGGACAAGCCAGTAAACATCGAACAGCTGACGTGTACCAGTCCAGCTATACTCAGGTAGTGCTCTGCTATCAAACCACGGGAGGGAATTAGGGGCGGTTTGATGCTGACCGACTCAGATCAACCTAAGTCTAAGTCATCAACCACAAGGAAGGCCCGAACAGGCAAGATATAGCGGAGACCTTCAATCCATCAGTCGCGGCCCAGACATGAATCTGGGTCCGAGAGATGACAGGTCAGTGATTATGTGCAATGAGCAGCTCATGTAATAGATTTGAGCCTTTTTAAACTGTAAGGTGTCCTGACTTTTGTTAAATGGCAATCAGTTACCAAGCAGCCGAGATACAGCTCATCTCCGGCCTGATAAACAGTGCACGATGTGACCTTGACAAAAAGGAAGATTTTTTTTTAAAAAAAGGAGGAAAGAAAGGATAAGGTTTAAATGGACACTTTGTAGTTCACTCTTTTCCAGTGACCTGTATGTCAGCCTCACAATGTCAAATCGACAGTAAAATTGGCCCACGCCCTCCGTATTTAATCCGGCTATCGCCATTAAAGGAATTTCTCCTTGAAGCAAGCCCATTGTGCAATGACCTTTTCTTTGAGCGTTTCTTTTAAAAATTCATTCCTCTGAGAAATTCATGACCACTTTGTCTTCATGATCTGTTTGTTTATGAGATAAAAGTTGATTTAATAAATGTACTCACTCACAGTTGGGAGGAAGCAGAGATTGATTTGATAAATGGACTGTAGTTACCTAGAACTAGGAGAAAGCAGAGAGTGTTGAGACTTAGTGCCTAAGTGCCGAATTAAACTCTTTCGGGAACATACAGTGTTCCATTTAACGTATTACCCAATTTGTCCCAGCTACTGGCCCCTTTCTGAAGCACGTTCTGTATTTATAAAGACTCCAATACATAACTAAACTTCTCGTGGTTTGACCTTAAGACCATCATGTTAAAATGCAGAACTGCAATAAACCAGACTTCTAATTGAAACTGAATGGAAAGACTTTCCAAAACCTTGCACAGTCATAAATTTAACTTATCTTATTACTCTGATGAAGTGGTCAGATGACCATACCACCAGTAAAGTGTGCTGTTGCAGCAATGACAGTATCAAGTTGTTTCTGGTGTCCTGGGTTTTACCACCTTCCCTTGTAACTTTCTGTGTAAATAATAATGATAATAATCCTTGTATTTGATATAGTGTCTTATCACACTGTCAAGACGTCTCAAAGCACTTTACGGGATATACTGTAAAGTGGACATGATTGTGTATTTTGTGGGCAAAAAACACAACAATGTCCTACAATCAGCCATGGAGTGAGTGACCAATTTTATTTGGGGGATTATTGGCCAGGACACCAGGAGAAACTGCCTTCTCTTTTCAAATAGTGCAATGGGATCTTTAACATCCACCTGAACAGGCAGACGGGACCTCGGTGTAATGTCTCATCTGAAGGACAGAAGAAATACTTGCCTGTCCTAAACCAGGCCTTCAAAACCCCCAAATCCGTGCTGTGCACGAGGAGTTTTACCCATCCCGATACCATTAGCAATGTGTACCTTGGAAAAGCATTCCAGCTCTACTCCTGACAAAGGTTGAGATAGTGCCAGTGTGGAGGAGAACACCCAGTGAGTGCAAAGAACCAGTCTCCAAAACAAGCTAAAATGAAAAGTACTATAATTTATTTTTAAAAAACGGCCCAGTTGTGGGTAGCGAGGCCGAGTGTTTTTCAGATACTATCATGAGGCTGAATTGCTCTCAAAATCAGTTCTTTGCAAATCTCTACATCTGAATGGATGACGTCCGAGATGATGTGTTAGTGAAGAGGGAACGAAATCAGCAGTGGACACACTGCCTGACCTTCCAACCTAGTTGCTAAGCAATCATGAGAATATTCTATGTGACCTCTCCACAGCAAATTGACTCAGCACCTTTGGTAAAATAATATCGTCCTCCACAGGTAGGAGATGACCTTTTAACCTTGCAGGACAATCTCAGACAATTCCTATCGGAGTCTTTATGAACCAGGGCCCAGAATCTTCTTTATGCAAATTAATATCCAGTGGATCATTTCTGATGGGAACATTGTAATAATTACTACAGGACCTTTCAGATTTGCTCAGTAATGGACGTTTGCTGTTATTTGCCACGAAGGTTGAGATAAGTGCACAAGCGGTTCGTTCCCCTGCCCATCAGTGGTGGTTATAGTCATGTACAATAATGTGTGTGGGATGAGTTATTTGTGATTTCTGAAACTATTTAAATAGTTGAGAATGTCCAAATAAACAGCTGTAGAAAGATGAAGCTTGCTGCGTTCGCAAGCAGCTGCCAGTTACTCTCTCTAGAACACATGACGCAGAATCCCAGGCTGCACCCAAGTCTCCCCACTTCCCCTCTGTTTCTCTCTGTAAAGCCCCCCCCCTTGAGATAATGCTACTTTTAGTCCCAGCCAGAACGCAGCAAGCAGCTGGGCGAGGAGAAATTCTTCATTGGTCTTTTTGTCTGAAGTGAAATGAAGACAGTAGACTGTGGGTTGCAATCTGTCGCTGCTTGGAAGAGAAGCAGATTATCAGCTGCTCTGAAGGCAACATATCTGTAGATAGACCAGGGGAAGCCTGCACAGGATTTAGGTAGGGAGGAGTGAACGATCCACACTGTGCAGATGCCTGAGAAGTTGAAATTCCTCCACTAACTGTGTTGACGGAGCCTACAATTCATTCCTGTGTTAGCAGCACTCAAGGTAGGTGTACAACAACAACAACAAGATTCCATTTATAAAGGTGTAGGATTATACATGATTGTAATGCTGTTAAGATGCAGTTACTTGTTTAAACGTAAATGTACAGTTCAGTTTTGACTATGGTGTGGTTCTGTGTCAAAGTTGCCAGTTCTCGTAGAATTAAGTCAAGACCTCAGTGTAATTTTCACTAATAAGCTGCAACCTGTTCAATAGGAAATAAATGGCCTCGGTATGATACCTCTTACCAGAACATGCTTTCCTTATGGTTCCCAAATACAGTGTTATTGAAAAACTTCATACAGCTGTTGATACTCCTTTTGATATTCTTTCAGTCTGTTTTTCTTCACTTCCTGTGGTTTGCTTATTGAGTACCATTGAGGGCAGTGTGCTGAGACCTGGAGGAGATTCAGATAATTCCAGCTGTGTCCCATAAAATGCATAATTCTGCATAAGGTTTGATTCCCATTGCATGCAAGTTTCATCCACTGTTGTTGGGAACAGCTGGAACATTTTGGGAACTGAATTTTGTTGTGTCCAAAGACATATGAACGGTAAAGCACTTTGAGATGTTTCCCTGACACGAAAGAGGCTATATAAAATGTAAATTGTACTGTATATTACAGAGTTCATTTCTTTTTTTCAAAAATATATATGATTTCCAATGTGATGTTTCTGGCAAGTAAAACTGAAGTGTTCTCCAAACTCGAGTTAATTTATTGTTGGAACATTTAAAAAATGTCTACAAAAGCAACAACAAAATTACATTTGTATAGCGCCTTTCACGTTGAGAGGACGTCCCAACATGCTGGACAATCAGTGTTTTGGAGCCAAGCTGGGGGTCGGGATCAGAGAGGGTGGATAGCATTGGAGGGGGAAAGGAGGGTGATCAAGGGCAGGGTCAAGATAAGAGTGATAAGAGCCTTGATAAGAGTGAGTTGCGGTGAAAGGTCTAGTGTTGAGCTCTTTGCTTGACTATAAGATTTATGTGGTCTGCAGTGAAGTGGACTCAGGGCATTTACAGTTCTTGGCACAGTTATCATGAATGAATGGGATTAGTTTACCAAGGTCTGGGATTTTTCTCTTTCCCTTGCCACCTCCTCCTCCCCTGGGACAATGGTTCAACAGGCACCAGCCATCCTCCAGTACCTCACGTAAGTGGAATTCCTCCTGAGCCAACCCAGATACTGGATGTCAGTCTTGAGATCATTGGGTGAGAATGTCAGGTCGAAGTCTGATCCTGCTCTAACCCTATGTTCACACATGCACATTCCAGTAGGGGGGGGCCTCCACAGTGATCGGGGACGGAAACTCTTATTAATTACTTTCTCCTTTCCTTCCAAACCCACAACCCCTCTCCCAAACAAGCCCCCCCCCCCCCCCCCCCCACATCTCTTTGCCCTAGCTCAAATCATCTAACTCACCACAGAACAAGGTTTAAACTTAGTTTATAAGATTTTGTTTCACACTGGCAATAGGGAAAACTCCATTCATACGACCACACATGAATTCTGCTTGCAATTCATATAAAAGTCCAGAAAGATTTATTTATTTATTCTGAAGAATAAATCTTCTGTTTCCCTTGCCACCTCCCCCTCCGAGTTCTCTAACCACTGAGCAAGTGCTCTAAATCATACAGTAGTCCTGTAGCACAGTGATTAGAGCATTTGCCTCGCAAGCGAGACACCTGGGTTCAATTCCAGGCAGGGCGAAACCTTGGGCAAATTTTCTTACTCCACACACCTAATAATAATCCCTCAAGAAAAAAAAACAATAATAAAATTGGTCACTTCAATCCACGACTGTTTGTGGGATACTGCTGTGCGCAATTGGCTGCCACAAATATAGAGTCAATTCATTTTACAGTATATTCTGTGAAGTGTTTTGAGATGTCTAGAAGACGTGAAAAGCGCTATATCAAATGCAAAGATTATTATTGTTTATTATTTATATTGAGCGTTAAAGTTATTGGGGCACAATTGCCAAACTTTGCTCTGATATTTTGTAATTGATGTAGAAAATGGTGAGTTACAAAAAACAGACACAGTGTATTAACCTGTATTGGTGAGTCTGGGACTATGTTTGTCCCACTGAGGAATGGATCAGCAGAAATAGGGAATAGAATGCCAGCAAAAACAAGTAATACTATGTCTATTATCTCCATCGAAAAGAGTACTGGGATAGGTAACTTTTTAAGCATATGGATCTAAAGGTAAAGATAGACGTGGATGATCAAACACTTCAAACAGTTTGTAATGGGAAGATGAAAGGTTTGTTATTCTGGAAGGATGAGATATTAAAGGCTGAAGAACCTTTTTTATCTAAAACCTCATCTGATAAATTGTGTGGGAGTGGCAGGAAGGACAAATATTCGTCATCTGATATTGCACCCTGGTTATGGCTGTTTGTCCATAACTGCAGAAAATACTGCAGTCATGATTCCAACAAATTACATTGATATAATGCCCTTCTTGTAGGATAATGTCTCG